TTTTTTCTTTTTTTTTGGTCTTTTTTTGAGACAGGGTCTCGCTCTGCAGTTTAGGTTGGCCTTGAGCTCACTTTGTAGCCCAGGCTGGTCTCAAACTCGCAACGATCCTCCTGCCTCAGCCTCCCGAGTGCTGGGATTACAGGCGTGCGCCAACACGCCCGGCAGGTTGATAATGTTAATGCCTGTTTTCTTTTCAGACTGTGTTCTACGGAGCAAGCATGTTTCATATCCATCTCTTTGTCTTCAGACATGGCACAGTGCCCAGCAGTGGCAGCCCCTCAAATACTGTTTGAGTGGAACTGAAATATTCTATTTGCAACTGTTTGAAAAAGCCAACCCAAACAAAAAGATATATAAAACATATTTAGTTTTGTCTCTTTGATATACCATGGAGAAGTCAACAAGTATGCAGAAGCAAGAAAAAACAGTGTAACGGTAACATGGGTTTCTATAAAGTTTAACTCACTCATAAGTGCTGTAGATAGGCAATCAAAGATGGACTCTTTCCTTGTATAATGAAGTTGAATAAGCATTTTTGCAAGATTAAAGTGAGTCAGACTGCTGTGCTCAACTTTTTCCCATTTGCTGTTTGTTTGACTTATGTTTGAAACATCTTTGTTCTTTGCATAGGTAATAGGTGAAAACTTTTGCTTTATAAACCAAACAATAAAAATGAATATCCATCACTTGTTGCTATTAATAAATTAAAATACTTCCCTACCCACTTTTACATTTACCAACTTACTCCTCTTCAAACTGTGTTGCTACTAATCTCTTGCTATGGTTTAGATCTAAAATGTCCCCCCAAAGTCTCAAGATGGAAGTAGTCTGAGGTGGGTTTCGGAAGGTGATCAGGTCATGGGTGCTGTGCTGTCAGGGGAGGGTTACGTGGATGAGCTCAGGTTGGCAGCACTGTAGGAGTCGGGGCCTAGGTGGAAGGGCTCCCTAGTGTGACCTCAAGGGTGTTTTTGTCCCAGCTCCGCCTGCTGTCACTGGCTCTTGGCGCTCTGCTTCCTGGCCGCTATGGGTGGAGCGGCTTTCTTCCACCTCCATGCTGCTCTGTCTTGGAGCCAGTGGTGACTTTCCCTCTGAAACTGCGAGCCCAAATAGACCTCTCCTCAGGTGGTGGGTGTCGGGAATCTGTCCCATTGATGGGACAGTGACTAACGCATTTCTGCTTAACTTTCTACAGCAGTCCAGAGTGCTGATGAAAACTATGAAGCAAGGAAGTCCAAATTGATTATCAGTGAGAACTGATTTGGATTCTTTTTAGATTTTTGCATGGAAGAGTTGAAAGGAAGATTGCAAAATTATACATATTTTTCAAAAACAGATAAGTGTGTATGTTCTCACCAAGTTGTGTAATGTATATGATTTTCTACACCAAACCACATAAGCATAGTAAAATTCTAATTTGGTTTCACCCTCCTAAAGTTATGACAGGGGTGTAAACACTTCTAGAAGAAGTTCAAAGCAAAAGAGGATGAATCCTCTTCTAATTAGCCTTTGCCCTAGCCAGAGCTCCCTCCCACATCCTTACCCACGTGCCGCAGAAACCTAGCTGGGAAGGAGGGAGCAGGACATGCCCTTTCTGTGCACAGGACATTATTCAAGGCATCCTCACGGTTCCATCACAACCACAATCTCACTATGGCAGGAGAGACAGTCTCAGGTGGGGACCGCAGCTGCCAGGCAAAGTCCCAGTCTCCGCCCAACTCCAACCTTAACAGACACAGGCTCCTCCTCAAGCACTTGGGGTTAGTAACTACCTCCCTCGAGCTGGAGGAGATGAGGAGTGAGATAGCAAAATGGGGCAGACAGTGAGAGGGAAACCGGAGACCCTCCAGGTCTGTCCTGTGTGAGGTTCTCAGGCTTTTCTGACAGACTCTCTTCTGATGGGAGACCTCCTCCACCACTCTGCCCAAACCACACACACGGCCCCAGCGGTGTGTGATGGTGGTCCCGTGCAACCACAACCAAGCTGGAAACTCCTCCTGCCTGGTGACCTGGGCCATCATAATGCCACAGCACATGTGTTGCCCACGTGCGCGCAGTGACACTGGTGGAAGCAAACTTCCTGTGTGGCCGGCTGCACACCACATGGCACACTCACTTGTGTGTAGTGCAACACCTGACAATGAGGGTGTTGCCC